GTTGGGGGGTATTATAAGTTTGATTGGGCCAAAAATTATGTAACACCTCGAAATATTGGTTTCCCACATAGGAAAGTATATATGGGTCTTCCTAGATCGCCGAGCTGAGTCGATATAGCTATGTATGTCCGTTCGTCCGTCTGTCCATGTTAATTTGTAATCAAGCTACAGGTCGCAGAAAAACAGAAAAAATTCCTGATTTTGCAGTTGCTCTATAGGCCACAATTATGAACCAATCGACGCGAAAATTTACATGGAGTTAGAGTTTGGGACTGGGCAGAAACCTACCAATTTGAGCGGCCATCGGACAATAATTAGCGGGCAAAATAGACCCCAACTTTTATGTTAGAAAAAAGGAAAATTTCCACTAAATCACGAGTACATTAATAGATCAATTCTGACCATTACAGTGATGCTAATAGCCAAGAAATCGGATATATAGCAAAATAGGTACAATACATAAGTAAAATAATTGATCTTATTTATTCTGCATATAAATCAAGAACCGCTGGGCCGATTTTCACAATTCACATCAATTCGGAATAATCTCTTGCCAGAAAAGGATAAAATCTAATCGTTTGTTTCATTTTTTTCCATTTTTGTCATATTTTTTTATCGCATGCGATTTTTTCAATTTGACTTACAATTTTGAATTTTAAATTTTCTACATTTTTACACCCTCCAACACTACGTTTTGAGGGTATTATATTTATGTCGCAATTATCGTCCAATCCTCACGAAATTTTGCGTGTCATTTGGCTTCTATTTGTGATCTTTAACGGCTGCAAAATTAGGAACATTTTTTGTTGGTCCATTTCAACTCCTAAATATATTGCAGACATTTTTGAAAACAATAGGCCTAGCCCTTCTAAGCCAACCTCTACTCTTGTGAAAAATTTCATGAGGATCGGACGATAATTGCAACCTTTGTGGTAAGGTGAAAAAATATTACAAAAAAAAAAATGCACTTCAATATTATAAGTCAAATTGAAAAAATCGCATGCGATAAAAAATATGAAAAAAAAAAAAAAAAAAAAATATGTCACAAAATACTACAAAATCTATGTGAACATCATTATTCACATATTTATGCGATTTTCTTAGATTTTATACTTTGATGACAAAATTTGTAAAAATCGGTCCAGCAATTCTTGAGATATAAGAATTCTAACAAACATCCCCTTGTTTTGTATATATACATTGTATATATTCCGCTATATATATATCCGATATATTTACTATCGACATCTACGTAATGGTCAGAATTGACCTGTTCGTCTATTTGTGATTTCGCTGGAATTAAAAATATTCGCGGTTAAATGGAAAATTTGACTTTTATTTAACACAAATTTTATGGTCTATTTCACCCACTAAATATTATCCGATTACCATCCAAATTGGAAGGCTTTTGCCCAGCCCTAAGATCTAGCCCCATGTTAACTTTCGCGTCGATTGTTCTATAATTGCGACCTGTAGAGCAACTGCAAAATCATAAAATTTTTCATTTTTGGTCAATTTCAACCCCTAAATATTATGCGATCATCTCCAAAAGCAATAGGCTTCTATTCTGGCCCCAGCCCCACCTCCATTCTAATTTTTGTGAAGATCGGGCCATAATTAATATGGACAGACGAACCTACACAGCTAGACCGATTCATCTTGGCGAAATAGGAAGATCCATATATACCTTCCTGTGTGGGAAACCAATATTTCGAGGTATTACAAAATTGTTGGCCCAATCAAGGTTATAATACACATGGTGTTGTAGGGTATAAACACAACTATTTATTTATTTTTTTTTTTATTTATATCCTTTACGCCAACTAACTATTTTAACATGGGGATGAGATTGGTTGATTGGTCTGAATATCAACCAGTAGTGGTTACTTAGCTTTGTCATCTCCAGATGACTTTTCAACCAATTTGTTGGTTATTGTAGAATAATGCATTTATAACTAACGATTTTCTCAACTAGTTGAAAAAAGTCCCGCTGGGAATTTTACTTTTAGGCACAATTTGGTCTTGTATGCGAAAATTCATATTCTTATGGGCCAACATTTTACATTTGGTGAACAATAAACTTGAAATTGGCCGAATATATATATCCAAAACTAAAGCAATTAGGGTTCGAGCTTGGACCAAATAAATTAAATGACGATGGAGATCGCCGGAAGAAACTGTGTTCATATCTTTCTTGCTCTTGAATGTTGCAAAGAAACACACATATGTACAAAGACCTGAAAACCTGGACCTCAGTGTGGCTTAGGGTATGAGGTCATATGCCTTCATATACCTTTAGCCATATAGTTTCAAAGGGTATAAATCAAGAATCCTATCGGATCGAAACCGGGTACATCGTAATATTATTATCAAACTTAAATCGAGTTTGGACATGAAAAATATCGGTCCGCTCCTTCAAAAAAGGTCAAAATTTTCACAGAAAAAAAAAATTACTTTATAGAACAAGAAAAAATCATCCGATGTTGTGTAAACTTTGCAGATCCCAATATTTATATCAATTCTAGCTCAGGTGCAAAAATGGACCATATGTACAAAAGGTCAAAATTTAGAATAATTATAACTCTTGTAAAAAGGGAGTAACAGTAAGATTGCCTTCAAATTTCACACATCCTTATAATTATATTAAACTAAACAAAATACGATCTGAGCATCCAATTCTCTTAAAATTTCACACATACTAATATATTCACTAAGAAGATGAAAAAACTAGGACCATTTCTTCTGGCACCATCCGCACAAAGGGTCACAACTTGGAATAAGAAATTCTTAAAATTTCACACATCCCAATATTTTTATAAACACAAGATCTGGCGCGAAGATGGGATATACCAATTCCCTTTTTGTGGTGACTCCCTCAACGGGTCAAGATTTTAAGAAGCCATGAAGTTCGTATAACTTTGAATGAGCATGCGATTTCTTTCATACTCGTCACTCCCCAATATTTCTATTGGTACAAGATACATTGGGAAGATGGTAGATATAGGCCCATTCCTTCCGGCACCTCCCCTAAAAAGGGTCATTTTGGATTAGCCAAAACGGTCACAAAATGCGACATTCCAATATTTTTACCAAGGCAAGATCTGGTGTGAAGATAGAATGTATTCGACCACACCTTCTGGCAACTCCCCGATCAAAAATTAGGAAAAACCCAAACTGTCATAAAATGCGAAATAGGCATCGAACTCATTCTATGGTTTACACATTCCTATATTTCCACTAACACAAGAAATTATGTGAAGATGGAATATATCGGCTCACAATATATATATATATATATATATATATATATATATATATATATATATATATATATATATATATATATATATATATATATATATATATATATATATGCGGTCGATTTATATATAGCTCGATGACTTGTTTCGTTATAATTATTCAAAATGTTGAACCTTTGTGAGCCGATATATTCCATCTTCACATCATTTCTTGTGTTAGTGGAAATATAGGAATGTGTAAACCATAGAATGAGTTCGATGCCTATTTCGCATTTTATGAGAGTTTGGGTTTTTCCTAATTTTTGATCCGTTGTCAGGTGTATGTGATGCACCAAACACGATTTGTATGTCCGATTTCAATGAAATTTGGAGTGAGTGACGAAATTTGGCACAAACATGAAGTTGCCAAATTATTTTAAAATCGGTTCAGATTTGGATATTGTCACCATATATATTTTCCGCCGATCTCACATAGTTGATGCATTAAACATGGTATGTATGTCCGATTCCAATGAAATTCGAAAGAAGTAACGGAATTATTTTTATACCCTCCACCATAGTATGGAGGGTATATTAAGTTTGTCATTCCGTTTGTAACACCTCGAAATATACATTTAAGACCCCACAAAGTATATATATTCTTGATCAGCATAAAATTCTATATCGATTTAACAATTTCCGTCCGTCTGTCCGTATGTGGAAATCACTCTAGCTTTCGAACGAAATGAAGAAACTTGATAAAAATTTACTCAAATGTGTATTATGTTTGCAGGACTTTTGGTATTGAAAATGGGCCATGTAGGTCCACATCTTCATATAGCCCCCATATAACGGTACCTCCCGATATGCGGTATTTTGATGAATTTAGCGACATTATTTAACAGAATTGTTTCAAATTTGGTTCGTAATGGATATTACAACCTATGACAGAAAATTGTATGTGCAGGTCCACGTCTTCGTATAGCCCCCATATAACGGTACCTCCCGACATTCGGTATTTTGATGATTTTAGCGACATTATTTACCGGAATTGTTTTAAAATTGGTATTTGAAGTTCGTAATGGATACTACAGCCTATGACGGAAAATTGTATATGCAGGTCCACTTTTTCGTATAGGCCCTATATAACGGTAACTCCCAATATTCGGTATTTTGATGATTTCAGCATCATTATTTTCCGGAATTATTTCAAATTTTGTATTTGAAGTTCGTAATGGATTCTACAGCCTATGCCAGGAAATTGTCTGTGGAGGCTTATGACAAAAGTTGCGTACGCAGTTCCACGTCGTCGTATAGACTCTTACATACGGCTACATTCGGTATTTTTTAGATTTTAACAGAATTTTTAAAAGATTTTAATTTTTGGAAAATTGCCAAATTTGTACCAAATGGTGGAGGGTATTCCAAGTTGGGTCCAGCCGAACTTACAGCTTTTTTACATCTTATCTTATCTAAAGAGGTAGCGAAGCGCGCAGGGTTCAGCTAGTCACATATAAAGTACAAGATGTAGTCGATATAGTCCAAATATTGCAGGTTGTAATGTTTATTTCAGGCTTATATCAGATATGACATGGAAAATATTGGCTCACTCCCTCGGAACTTCCTCCATAAAGGAACAACAGTTTAAATAATCCTTGTGTTTTGCTGTGGTTACATATGGTTATGATTCAACACGATATGTCTTTGTTCTATGAAATCACATTTTCAAACGAAATACTTAAAATACTGCCCCTTACTTACCATCAGCCGAATGACTGGATGCCTTACGCATGCTGGTCAAGCGATAAAATGGTGGAGTTTCCGTACGTTCAATTAGGCAATTAAGTGTCTCGACAGTTTGCAATTCTGCCATTAACTCATCGAGCAAACGATCCGGACAGGTGCGAGCCAAATAAAGAGCCACACGTTTAGCCTTTTAAATAAGAAATGAGAAAAAAAATGACAACACGAATAAGCATGAGGAATCAACTGAAATAAACATTTAATGTTAATTAAAAGGGACATGACGAACGTAAAAACAAAAAAAAAAAGCAGTCAAACGCTTCAAATGTAACATCACTTATCCATCATGTCTTAGCATGTTGGTGGGTTCACAATGACAAGACGTTATGCTGTGTGTCTTTTTAATTAGCGTCTTTTGCAAAGGATATCACAGCGCCAAGGCAAATACTTACATAGGGCAGCAACTCGTTGGGAGCCATACCGCTCATTATCACCAGATAACGCAGAATCACCTTGAGATTGTTTGGCCAGAATTGACACAGTGTCCCCCACAGCTCTTCGATGTCACGTGGATGGGTATCGGAAAACTGCAAAAAAATAAAAAAAAACGTTTGTTGAAGTGACCGTTTTTTTTTTTTTTTTGCGAATTTGTACATTACCTTGGCTGTTATATAGAATAGATTGTTGAGGATCATTTCAGTGGCTTCCGTGGAACCGGTACCTTCTCGTCGTCCTCTTGTTCCAGAGTCGGGGAAATACTGGAGAACATACACAAATGGAATAGAAATGTTAATATTTGATATTCGAGTTGGATCCATACAATTTAGCATCGCGAAACCAACATTTTTGAGGTATGTTGGAAAATCATTCCATGGATGAATAGAATATATGAATGTATTAACAATACAGGGTGAGATGAAAAAACTACAACCAACTTCAGACTGCTGTCATTTCTAAGCCACTCGTTCGACAGCTATTAAAATTATTCCAGTGACAGCTCATTATATTGTTTAGAAGCGTACAAAAGCATTTCGGCAAGAATTTTGCAGAACAAAAATTATTCGTAATGGAATTCAAGCGTGATAGTGTGATTTCTTTATATTTGGCTGGAAAACCACAAGTGGCTATCTTTAGAGTACTCCAGCATTTAAATGTGAATAAATCTTTTGTGTCTCGTACCACCGCTCGTTAACGTGATACTGGTCGCGTAGCCCGAAGTCAATAAAGTGGAGGCATATATTGAAAAATGAGCTCGGGCTAAAGCCATTGAAATTCCAAAAAGAGCAAGAACTCACACCGCAACAGAAAGAAAATAGACTTAAAAGAGCTAAAAAGTTGCTTCGCTTGGCCAAAAGTGGTGAACTGCCGAGTTTGATTTCCTCCGATGAGAAAACATTCGTTGTCCAGCTGCTTGTAAATGAACAATATAATCCTGTTTACTTGCCAAAGAGGTCAGCTGATAACGTGCACCTTCGGTTGGTCTGAACCAGACCAGAACTCAAGCGCAGGCTATGGTGAGGGCGTGGGTCGCCATAACAGCCGATGGTCGATCGATCATCATCATATATAGCCATAAGACTGATGGTACAAATATACTTACAGAATTGGTATTTCTTTCGACATATTGGCATACAGAAACGTACCCTATAATCACTTAGCAATAATTGAGATGGACTCGGACACTTCATGGTATAATTTAAATATATTTTGGACATGGTGATGATTATTTAAACTGTTGACCCTTTATTGGGTGGATGGTGCCGTAGGAAATAGCAAATATTGTACATTTCGTATCTGACCTATGTTGGTTATGTGACAATTCTTGGTATGTATCATCATCTAATACTGATAGAAATATTGGGGTGTGCAAAATCGAATATTTATTTCTAATGCGAATAATTATTATGCAAATAATTGTTGTGTGAATGTTAACGATGTTAAGTTCCGGCGAGTTCATTTTTTACCCAACCATGACATTTGGACAGGGGCGAAAATGGACTTCCGAAACTACCTCCACATGGGGTAAAATTTTTGAATAATCATAACTGCTACAAAATGCTTTCTCCATATCCAGAAGCTGGGATATTCTTGCAAGTGCCTTCCCAAAATCGAGGGAAGTATATCTGATTTGATTGAAGTTTCACACATCGGAATAATTATATAAGGCATAGGTTAGGTGTCAGCAAACATAGCAGACACATGTGTCGACGTTTAGAAAATTTACATCGCCAAGCAACCTTCCAATTTTGTAAAGTTTCAGATTAAGATTCCTTGACAACCTCGCATTTTAGATGTATAGTGTCCTTCGGCAATATTATTGATAAAAATATGAGGATTATTTTTGTAGAAAATGTGAACACTCAAGCTTTCAAACAAATGGCTCTTTTTGGTCCCCGTTTCAAAATATTCTACAAAATTATCTATCATTAAATTCTTCTACGGGTTGACCTTTAACTAACAAGGTGGTTTTAAATATTACCCTCCCTTTATGTTTTTTTGAAAATCTCTCTTCAATTGCGATGAATAAAGTTTTCTTTTAATGACGCTCCACCATAGTGTGGAGGGTATATTAAGTTTGTCATTCCGTTTGTAACACCTCGAAATATACATTTTAGACCCCACAGTATATATATTCTTGGTCAGCATGAAATTCTATGTCGATTTATCAATGTCCCGTCTGTCCCGTCTGTCCGTCTGTGAAAATCATCCGAACGAAATGAAGTAGGTTGATAAAATTTTACTCAAATGCGTATTATGCCTGCAGGACTTTTGGTATTGAAAATGGGCCATGTAGGTCCACGTCTTCGTAAAGGCCCCATATAACGGTACCCCCCGATATTCGGTATTTTGATTTTTTTTGCGACATTATTGGAATTGTTTCAATTTTGGTATTTGAAGTTCGTAAATTCGGAATATTGTCTGCGCAGGTCCACGTCTTCGTATAGACCCCATATAACGGTACCTCCGATAATCGGTATTTTAATTATTTTTGCGACATTATTTAACAGAATTGTTTCAAATTGGGTATTTGAAGTTTGTAATAGATACTATAGCACAAAACAGAAAATAGGCCATGTAGGTCCTCGCCTTCGTATATCCCCATATAACGGTACCCTCGATATTCGGTATTTTTATAATTTTAGCAACATTATTTATCGGAAATGTTTCAATTTTGGTATTCGAAGTTCATAATGGCTACTACAGCCTATGACAGAAAATTGTCTCTGCAGGTGCACGTTTTATAATCACCATGGTACCCCCCAATAATCGGAATTTTCATGATTTTAGCTAGATTATAAACTGATTTTTTTCAAGTTTCGCATTTGAATATTGTAATAGCTTGTGACAAAAGTTGCCTATGTTGGTCCACGTCGTCGTGTAGACCCTAATATACGGCTGCATTTGGTATTTTTAAGATTTTAACAGAATTTTTACGGGTTTTATTTTTTTTGAAAATTGTTAAATTTTTACCAATTGGTGGAGGGTATTTAAAGTTCGGCCCGGCCCGGTTTTTTGCTTGTTTTTACTTATCGTAATTTAAAATTTAGAGTTTTATACTTTTAAAAATGGGCCATCTGGTGACTCGTTTGAGGGCTAAAATATATATATCCTCGTATTGGTATCAGTAATATTATAACATTTCCCAAAAAAAAAAAAAATTATCACATATCTCATATAAAGTAAAAGAAATAGTCGACATAGTCCGAATCGGATACTTTGTAATATTTATGTCTGATACGAAATGAACAATATTGGTCCAGTCCCTTGTGTCAATATTTTTTATTTCGTATCTGACATATATATTACACGGCGACAGATTTGGACTGTATCGACTACTTCTTTCACTTTATATGAGATATGTGATAATTTTTGGGAAATGTATCCTATCTTCACAACAAATCTTGTGTTAATAGAAATATTGAGATGTGTGAAATTTGATTTTTGAGGATCGGACTCTTATTTTTATATCCTACACCACAAGGTGGTCAGGGTATTATGTCTTTGTGTATTTGTTTGTAACAGGCTAAAGAAAACGAGATAGGCCCATAGCTCATTTTGAAGATCTGCATAGAATCACATTTTGAGTCGATTTATGCATGTCCGTCCTTTTGTCTGTCTGTCCGTCCGTTTGTCCATGTATTTTTGTAAAAAAAGTCCAGTTCGCATTTATTGCCCTATATAGATGAAATCTTGCACAAATCATTTGTTTGGCCCAGGGACGAACCCTATTGAAATTGGAGATAATGGGTCAAAATTTAGATATAGCTCCCATATATATCTTCGTCCGATTTGCCTTTTATTGTGCACCAAACGTGTAATATCAGCCCGAATAGTATGGAATTTTGCACGTACGATCAGATTGGTCCTGAAAATAAGTATGCTAAATTTGATCGAAATTTTATTGTGCACCAAACGTCCAATATTTGTCCAAATGGGATGGAATTTGGCATTTACAACCGAATTGAAAGTAGAAGATAGTATGTAAAATTTGTTTTGTTACCCACAGCCGTAATATGCACTCCGTAACAATGATATTCAGGGAAATATATGAAATACAGCTCAGAAATATGTTTGCCAAATTTTATCGAGATGGGTTCCGATTTGGATATAGCTAACATATATATCTTTATCTGATTTTAAATTAATTGTGCACCAAATGAGCAATACAAGTCCGAATTTAGAAGATACAAATGCTTCGGCATATTTAGACCTTTGAACTTTAATTATGATCATAGCGGGTATGATTGAATTCTCCCATAAAAACTTTTAATTGTTATGCGGAGCAGTACTAAATTAGCAAAGTGGTGTAGGGTATCATAAAGTCGCCCGCCCCGCCCGACTTTAAGACTTTCGTTACGGGTTATATGTTATAAGAGTTATAACTATTCCAAATTTTAACACTTTGTGTGGGAAGTACTGAACCGATATATATCATCCTTACATCAAATCTTCAGTTGAAGAAATATTGGGATGTGCCGAGTTTAATAGACACCGGATGTTTACTTCGCGCTTTACAAGCTCCATTGCTATTCTAAATTTTGACCCGTTGTGGGGCAGGTACCCGGAAGAGTGGGTCAATATATCCTATCTTCACGTCAGTTCTTATATTACTTAACACATTGGAATGTGTGAAATTTGAAGACAATCGGACTATTATTTCACATGTTATAAGAGTTATAATTATTACAAATTTTGACCGCTTGTGGGAGAGGTACGTGGGCCAATATTATCCATTTTCGAAATTGACATAGCACTGATAGAAATATTGGGATTTACAATATTTGCCCTCCTTTGTGGGGGAGGTAAAAGAAGGAGTGGACCGATATTGCCCATCTCCGAACTCGATATATGATTGACAATAATATTACGATGTACCTAGTATGGACACAATCTGATGCTCCCTTCGAGAGTTATCTTGCCAGCTAGACAGACATCGCTAGATCGACTCCAAATGATTTGGATTTGGTCCAAAGAGACATAGAGTCTAAAATTATTATTTCGATGAGGCACATATCAAATGATAAATACCTTCTCTAGCCATATGGCTGAAGGTATAAAAATTCCAGATTAACCGTTGCCATTAGAAAATTCACTCAAAAAAATTTTCAAAATTGATAATGACGCAGATACAATTTTGAAAGGCTACACAAATTTGTTTTTTTTAGACGAGGGACATTTTGTGGTCCATTTTACAGCGAAATATATAATAACCCAATGGTCATCTAAAATGCTAGAATTCTTCCCTGTCGTTAACTCTCTTCTCAGGCGTGTCGATTGGCTTCAATTGCGTGATCAAGAGATTGTTTCCGTTTTTGGTTCATTTGAACCGCTAAATATTTTGCGATAATCTCCAAAAGCAATATGCCCTCTGTATCTAAAAATTGAGACTCATCTCTATAAGATTTGCTTGTCTACGATATTTGGCTATATTCTTCTTTGACGAATATCATAAGCATAAAAAAGCCAGAAGTTATAAGACAAATTGAAAAAATCGCATGCGACAAAAAATGGGAAAACTAAAATAAATATGTCACAAAATACTACAAAATCTATATTAACATCATTATTGGCATCTTTTTATGCGATTTTTTTCAGATTTTACCCTATTATGCCAAGAGGGCATTCTGAATTAACAAAATTTGTCAAAATCGGTCCAGCCATTCTTGAGATATAAACATTCTAGATAACATCCCTTTCCTTTCTACATACACATTTTATATATTTCCTATATATATCCGATATATTTACTATTGGCATCTACATAACGGTCAGAATTGACCCTTTCGTCTATTTGTGATTCCGCCGGGATTAAAAATATTCGCGGTTAAATGGAAAATTTTATGGTCTATTTAACCCACTAAATGTTACCCGATGACCATCACAATTGGAAGGCTTCTTTCCAGCCCTAACCTCTAGCCCCATACTAACTTCTGCGTCGATAGTTCTATAATTGCGAACTGTAGAGCAACTGCAAAATCAAGAAATTTTTCAGTTTTTGGTCCATAATTGCGATCTGTAGAGTGATTACAAATTAACATGGACAGACAGACAGACGGGCGGACGGACATACATAGCTAGATCGACTCAGCTCGATGAGATAGGAAGATCCATAGGGAAAACCAATATTTCGAGGTGTTACATAATAAACACATAGTGTTGTAGGGTATAAATATTAAATTTGCATGAAATACTATCGGAATTCACTTGTTATAAAATGGTAAAACTTTGCTCCAGCTATGTTAAATTTTTGAAGATATGGACCATAAATGTCGGCAAAATATTTTGTGAACATGTCGTGTGGAATTTCCGATTACATTTCATTCCTCTTTGACTGTGAAACTGATTTACGTTGCATATTAAACGTTTGCCAATAAATTGTCACCATTCGAAGTTAGTGTAGATGTAACCACCATTAAACTTTGTGTTTCCCGAAAAAACGCACACCCACACTCGAGAAATATAAAATCATGTTCTACATTGTACTCTTCCTTTCACTTACCATGATATATGACAACGGTGTGGCTGGTGGCACTGTTGTCGCCACTAATTCCATGTTGTGCAGCCAGGGTTGCAAGCACTGCAGTAATAGCGTGCGTACATCTTCACGAGCCGTTTGAAAGCGATGTGTTATTTCTGAAATGGAATTTAGAAATGTTATTTTAAACTATGCCACTCCAACAAAGCCAAAGGATGAGGCGGGGAGGGGTCGTGTCAGAAGAAGAATATGAAATACAAAAGTACGTACCTGAAAACATCGACATTGTCAACTCCGGTCGCAACTGTGCCAGTTGTTTGGACAAAAAACGTTGGGACCGGCAATAAGCACTACTTAGCAAAACGTCCAGGGTTCCCACTTTGTCATCCTCTGTAATGAAAAGAAAATAAAAACAAAACATTGTTTGAATGAACGAACGAGTGTGGGAAAAAAACGTGAAAAAAGGAAAATACCAAATAAACGTTAACAGTTGGAAGCTGTAAAGCTGCTTTTTCATTTAAGTATACCTGGTTTAGCGGAGGTCATGGCAACTATTTGAGATTTGAAATTTTTGTTATAGCTTTTAAATGAAAATTACGTCAATTTTTTCGTCGTTGCAAGCAAAACAAACTGAGGAAACCGTCTCTATAAATAATTCCGATAATGCGGCATTTGACTTTCACCAATGAATGTGAAAGTCCTACTGGTTGTATTCCTGTGAGTGTGTAAACAATAAAACTGAAGAGAAAATCCAAAACAATGAAAAAATATATGAAAAGAGTAAGCTGTTGCCCATTTAAAGGGAGCCCGTGAAGATATCTCTCAGAAAGGAAGCAAAACCGGTGTTGTATCTAAATGAAGTTAAAGAAGCGGCAAAGTGTAGGTCAATGCCAGACGGAGAAACCCGTCTTTCCGAGTTTCGAAAGAACTTGGTGAGCAAAGTAAACAGACAAAACTAAATAACTCCAGCATTTTCGCATAATTCAGAATTCCAAGTTTTAATTTAATTCATTCATTTATTCGAAATTCAGATATTTTATATTATATTTTAAGTTCGGTTATTTAATTTCATGTGCTGAATTCATTGGAAATTCAGAATTTTACAATTATTGTTCAGATATTTAAAATTTTCACGTTCGATTTAATACTGAGAATACTGCATTCAGAAATTCCATTTAAATTAGACAGAGTTCAATTGAATATTAAGATTATATAGAAGATATAGAAAACTGAAGCAAACAATGTCCAGCCGGAAAAGGAAAAAGGTCAGTCGGTGCCGACTATGTAATACACTACACCATAATGCATATTTAGCAGTTGTACCCGTAATAAATATACATTTATATACTATTGGTTAAGGCCAGTTTTAAGACAGTTTTAGACCCTAGGTCTATTTGGCCCATATCCGTTTCAGAACATTTGAAGTAGATCTAAAGGTGTTCGTTCGCCCGTCCGTTTGTCTTGCTGATTGGTGGGCACGATTACTCTTTTGGTAGATCCTATATATATTATTATCAGACTTAGATCGAGTTCGGATTTGGGCAATATCGGTCCATACCTTCTGGTACCTCCCCCACAAAAGGGCGAAATTTTCAAAGAAAATAATTTACCGCACAGAAAGAGAAAGGGTAATCCGAGTTTGCTCCAACTTTGCATATTTACATCAGTGCTATTGGTCCACTCCTTCCGGTACCTCCCCCACAAAGGGACAAAATCTTCATTAATTATAATTTTCATAAACTATAATATGATCATATTACTCATATCACAATATTTTTACTAATCCACGGCCTGGTGTGAAGATGGAATATATCGGTTCACTCCTTCTGGTAACTTCTCCAAAAAAGGGGTCAAAATTTTGAATATCCTTGAAGCTCATAAAACGCAAAATTTACATCTGATTCCATTCAGACTTGATACATCTCAATATTTCCATCGACATAAGATCTATTATAAAAATGGTAGAAATCGCCTTATTCCTTCTGGTACCTCCCCGCAAAGAGTCATAGTTCTGAATAACCAAAACGATTATAAAATCCGAAAGAAGCATCCGGTTCTTTTTATATTTTTCACATATCCCATTATTTCTACATACACAAGATCTGCTGTGAAGATGGAATGTATCGGTCCACTGCTTTTGCCACCTTCCGATTTCTTTCAGAATTGGTACATCTCAATCTTTCCATCAACAAATGATTTGTTCTAAATATGGTAGAGGTCAGACCATTTCTTCTGGTACCTCCCCCACATATGGTTCAAGGTTTCTAAAAACTAAGAAAGCGAAATAAACATCCAACTCTCTTCAAATTTCACTCATAGATGCATATTTACTAACACAAGATCTGTTGTGAGGATGATATACAGGGTGAAACATAAATGTGCTGCCAAAATTTTTGCGTGCCCAAGGCTTTAATACACCCTCCAGAATATTTTCACGATAATATTCGGTATTTATTCTGATGCCACGGTCGATTAATACGAGCGGAGAGCGACCATCGACTGTTATGGCGGCCCACACCATCACCATGGTCGGCGCTTAAATTTTTGGTCTGGTTCTGGCCAACCTCTTTGGCGAGTAAACACGATCATTTTGTTTGTTCACAAAATGCTGGGCAACGAATGTTTTCTCGTAGGAGAAAATCAAATTCTATTCTATTTTCTTTCTGTTGCGGTGCAAGTTCTTGTACTTTTTGGAATTTCAATGGCTTTACCTCATTTTTCAATATTTGCTGGATGGAATATTGCGATATGTTCAGCACACGAGTGATTTTTTTTGGCCACTGCGACGATCAAGTCGCTTCTTTATTTTCCGAACCATTTCTGCTGATGTTGCTATTTTCTTCCGTCCGCTTCCTTGACGTCGGGCTACGCTACCAGTATCACGGTAACGGGCGATGGTACGAGACACAAAGGATTTACTCACTTTTAAATGCTGGATTTATTCACTTTTAAATGCTCGAGTGCTCTAAAGATAGCCACTTGTGGTTTTCCAGCCAAATATAAAGAAATCACACTCTCACGCTTGAATTCCGTCACGAATACCCTCTTTTCTGGTAAATTCTTAGCAAAATACTTTTGTACGCTTGTAAACAATATAATTAGCTGTCACTGGAATAATTTTAACATCTGTCGGATGAGTGGTTTAGAAATGACAGCAGTCTGAAGTTGCTTTTTTTCATCACACCCTGTATATTTTAATAATCGAACATTCGCTGCGTGTATAAATCCGATATCTTCTAAATTTTGCTTTTGTAAAATTTATATTACAGCCTTACTTGTTCGCCCAATATCTATGGTATATTTTTAAGGATGTTTCTATTAAAACTTACTTATCTTACCACACACTACTGTATATCTGCTTGCCCACTCACGCATGCAGATAAATAAACGCCTATTTTATGAATGAAAAATTTTCAAAACATCAACATTTGTTGATTTTAATGATATTATTCGAGCATGCGCCATTCAAATGAAATTTCTCTTTTCCCAATTTAAGAGACCCAATTTTGGTTTTTATTTTGTATCCTGCGGGAATCTAACCCTTGTTGAACAACTGTTGAATTGGTGAAAGTAAATGGGACAAGGTCCTTAAAAACAAATTGCATTTGGCCATTTACTTTCAGTCTTTGGCGCGCTGTTTTGTTGTTAGGTTCAAATATCGAAAGCAATAAATCAAAGTGGAAGAAATTCCGACAAAAGTGAAAGTTTTAAATTTAGAACGAAATAAAGAACACTAGTGGAGTTTATTTTAAATTGGCTTTAAATGGGATTTATGCAAATGAAGAAATAAAAAAATGTAAATGTATAACATCATCCAATAATGCTAAAGCAGTTTAAAAAATCTATAACCGTACCCAACGATAAAACAAAAATAGAAAAAATTGTGAAATTGTTATAAACAAAAGTACTATTAAAATCAAAAAAAAAAAGCAATTTTCTCATTATTATTAAAAATTAAATAGAATGTTAGAAATGGAAAAGTGAATAAATTAATAATTGTTGAATCTAAACAGAATAACTTTATACTTTAATACTCTAATGAAAAAACAAAACTGTAAAAAAAAACATTAAGTGAAATTCTCCATTGATTGAAACTAAAAAGTTTTCAGGGCAAAATTAAAAAAAAAAAAAAAAACAGTCAACAAAATGTCTTTCAAATTCTCTACTACTCCAAAAAAATTATTTTTTAGTTTTCAAAAATTATTTCAAAAATAAAAAATAAAATTATGCCAAAAAAAGGTTATATTTGAAATTTAGCAAAACCTATTACGATTATTTTTCCGAACCACACATCAAAATTATAATTCCATAAACAGGGGTGACTTGAAGTTATTTTATTTTGACTTTTTTGGATTTTTATCAGGATATTTAAAATCTTGGAGCCTACTTGGAAATATGAAAAGACTGGTCAAGATTAATAATAACAAGTTAAAAAGTATCAGTCGGTATTACCAACAGATATATACCCTCAGCCTATATTCGATTAAATAGTCGAAATATATTTGACTAGTGTTACATTTATTCAAACGTTTGGCCCTCTATGGAGCAGGTTCCGAAGGAATGGACCAATATTGTCCATTTCGTATCGGACCCAAAAATATGATATAAATATTCCGACGTTACTGGTATGGATTATATCGACACACTCCTTCACTTTATATTAGATATGTAATAATTTTTAAAAAATGTTAAAATGTGCGTTATGTACCAGATAGAGTCTACCGAAATATTCCATTTTTATACTTCATCTGATACAAATAAAAAAATATTGAGCGAAATATTGGGCAAAATTACAAGAAAGGATATTTATTTCCAATTTTATGCGAAATCATAAATTCCGATAAATTTCATATTCCTATCAGGCTTCTTATTGAGAGAAAATTTCGTCCTTTTGTTGGGGAGGTACCAAAAGGAATGGACCGATGTATTCACTCTTAACACCAGACCTTAGGTTAATAAAAATATTGGGATATGTGAAATTTGAATACAATCGGACTCTTACATCACATTTTATAAGGGTTGTAATTATTCAAAATTTTGACTCTTTGTGGGGGAGGTACTTGATGGGGTATACCGATATTGTCCATTTTCGCACCTGACATAGCACTGATGAAAATATTAGGATTTGCAAAATTCGAGCAAAATCAAATTATCGTTTCTCTTTCTGTGCAGAAAATATTTTTTGAAAATTTCTACCTTTTGGGGGGAGGTACCAGAAGGAGTGGACCGATACATTCCATTTTCACCCCAGACCTTGGCTTAATAAAATTAATGGGATGTGTGAAATTAAAAGACTATCGGACTCTTAAATCACATTTTATAAGAGTTGTAATTATTAAAAATTTTGACTATTTGTGGGGGAGGTACTTGATGGAGTGGACCGATATAAT